TCGGTTTCACGTTAGGACGTGTTCAGCGCCTGGGTGTCTTACCTCAGAGACCCACCCCAAACCCTGATCCATCCTGAACCCTAAACCCTAAACCCTAAACCCTAAACCCTAAACCCTAAACCCTAAACCCGAAACCCTAAACCCTAAACCCTAAACCCTAAACCCTAACCCTAAACCCTAAACCCTAAACCCTAAACCCTAAACCCTAAACCCTAAACCCTAAACCCTAAACCCTAAACCCTAAACCCTAAACCCTAAACCCTAAACCCTAAACCCTAAACCCTAAACCCTAAAAACCCTAAACCCTAAACCCTAAACCCTAAACCCTAAACCCTAAACCCTAAACCCTAAACCCTAAACCCTAAACCCTAAACCCTAAACCCTAAACCCTAAACCCTAAACCCTAAACCCTAAACCCTAACCCTAAACCCTAAACCCTAAACTAAACCCTAAACCCTGGAACTGTGAACTCCAGCCCCGAAAGAGCCCAGTTCACTTCAAAGGTGGGCGTCATCGGTGGCTCGGCGCTCCGATCCAAGGCGCCTCGCATTCTTTGTGGGCTGTTGAGGGTTGGGGTCTCAGGGGTAAACCCTAAACCCTAGACCCTAAACCCTAAACCCTAAACCCTAAACCCTAAACCCTGAAACCTGAACCCTGAACCCTGAACACTGAACCCTAAACCCTAAACCCTAAACCTTTGTATCAAGCAACAAGCTATGGAAGACCCCGGGGCTTCGGCTTTGGGGGGGCCCTGCATCCTGAAAACACCGGCAGCAGCCCAAGATCTCACATCTCAAAATCCTAAACCCTAAACCTTAAACCCTAAACCCTAAACCCTAAACCCTAAACCCTAAACCCTAAACCCTAAACCCTAAACCGTAAACCAACATCCTCACGAAATGTCCCCGGCACCATCCCTATGCCTGGAAGAAGGAGAAAACCCAAAAAAGACCCGAAACCCTGAAAACACTAAACCCCAAAACCCTGGAACCCTAGAACCCTATAATCCAAAACATCCTGAAACCCTAACATCCTGAAACTCCAAAATCCTGAAACCCTAACATCCTGAAACCCTAAAGCCCTAAAACCCCAAAATCCTGAAACCCTAAAGCCCTAAAACCCCAAAAATCCTGAAACACTAAGCTCCTAGCGCCCGCAAGCGCCGAAGTCTGGAGTTGGGGATGCGGACCTTGCCTGTAGAATGGCCAGGGCATTAAGGGTTTAGGGTTTAGGGGTTTAGGGTTTGGGGTTTAGGGTTTGGGGTTTAGGGTTTGGGGTTTAGGCGTTAGATTTGAGAATGGTTTCAGTTTTGGGATTTTGTGTTTTGCGGTTTATCACGTCACGCCAAGTACCCGCAAGTCCAAGCACAACTATGGGGGTTGTTGCGGGTGTTCGGGCAATCATTTTTGGACTTGCCCGTGCGTCTTTTCGAGATACCGGAAGCGACGTATTGTTGGAGTGGACGGGGCCCTCGCCCAAAGGCCCAAACCGAACATCCCTCGGCCCGCGGAAAGCCTGTGACAGGGTTGCTGCTGAACTTATGTGAAGCTAACACAGCTGCCATGTAAACGAGTAGAAACTCATCGCGGATTAGGGTAAACCCATGACCCTAAACCCTAAACCCCCTTCGCAGGTGGTCAAGGCTGCAGTGTGTGAGGGCGGCCTACCCGACTGGCCCTTGGCAGTTACGGGCCTGTGTGCCACAGGGGGGTTGAACATTTTTAGGGCTTCTGAAGAGGCTCCTGAAGGGGCTTCTGAAGGGGCTTCTGAAAGGGCTTCTGAAGGGGCTTCTGAAGGGGCTCCTGAAGGGGCTTCTGAAGGGGCTTCTGAAGGGGCTTCTGAAGGGGCTTCTGAAGGGGCTTCTGAAGGGGCTTCTGAAGGGGCTTCTGAAGGGGCTTCTGAAGGGGCTTCTGAAGGGGCTTCTGAAGGGGCTTCTGAAGGGGCTTCTGAAGGGCTCTTTAAGGCCTCCAGGGGACTTGCGGCTGTGAAGCTTCAGATCCAGGGCTTAATCTTTTTCACAGCAAACGAAGACTCCTTTGGCCCCAAAGTGTGTAAAAAAAGTCGCCCCAAACCTAGTGAAATAGGACCATGATTTTTACAGACTTTTTTGGCGAGTTTGAGCTCCTAGCTGCCAAGCCTGAGTCTTGCTTTTTGGAGAGCTGAGGCAGGCGTTGCGGCATGGACATCTGGGGAGCTCATTTGCAGGAGAGCACGGAGCAGAGCAAAGTTTTGTGAAGCTGACGGCTTTTTCGATGGCAGCTCACCTAGTGGCTTCCGCCCTAAACCCTAAACCCTAAACCCTAAACCCTAAACCCTAAACCCTAAACCCTAAACCCTAAACCCTAAACCCTAAACCCTAAACCCTAAACCCTAAACCCGAAGACAAAAGGCTTCGAGGTGCTTGGAACCTATGCTGCGGTGAGAGCCGCCACTCTCAGGGCCATTTAAGGGGTGTTTACAACACCTTATTTCCCAACAGCTCTGGGCCCCCAAGAAGACCCTCAAAAGCCCTAGACCCTAAACCCTAAACTCTAAACCCTAAACCCTAAACCCTAAACCCCAAACCCCTAATGTTAGAATCCCATTTTTAATTGGGGTGGTAATACTAAAATTCGCCGGGCCAGAGGGGTCCAGCCGAAGACTACTTTCCATTACGGGAGGTTTTCGGGCCGATGTATGTAAACAAGTCTATTTTGGGGTGTGCGATGATAATAATAAAGGGTGGTAATTATAAAATTCTGCCGGCCTGGAATGGAAAATTTTACTGAGAATCGCTTAAGAGTTCCATTGCAGAGAAGACTTTTCAGCTGAGCTGGCTTGAAAGAGCTCCGAGGCTCAGTCTTTAGAGAAGCAGATCTCGTTTGAGAGTGCTTGTCTTCTGAGATTGCTGCAGCTCCAGAGCTGCGAGAAACTGCTGTTTCAGGGCTGTTTCTTCAGAGAAAGCAGGTATCAGGTGCCTTTTGAGGTTGCTGCAGCTCCCAGAGGCTGAGAAAGAGAGCCTTGCTACGGAGGCCCCTGCTCTCAGAGCAGCACAGAAGCCGGGCAAGACTTACGGCTGCAGCTCCAGACCCCCAGACCCCCAGAATTCATTATTGGCACCCCGTCTTTTTTTCCACCCCTCCAAACCCCGGGGACCAAAACAAGATTTGGGGGGGGGGGGGGTTTTATTAAAGGGACCCTAACATTAAACCCCTAAACCCTAAACCCTGAGCCCCCCGCGGATTCCCTTGCAGTCACCTGGCAGCGAGGAGCCTGGAGGGCACGTCTCAGCACGAGGACGGGGACGAGTACTTGGAGGTTCATGGTACCTATGAACCAGTTATGACTGTATTTATAGGGTGTAGGGTTTAGGGTTTAGGGTTTAGGGTCTAGGGTTTAAGGTGTTTTGTAAACATGTTAGCAAGTGGGTTGTCAGTACAGTTCTCCTTGGTGAATTAGTGCCATGAACTTCCAAGTATCCCCCAAAAAGGACTCCCAGTGCATTCCATTCACACCAATGTTTCGACAAATGGCACCCATGTGAAACTCCACCGTTTTGAAGGGTTCCTGTGATGGTATTTCCGTGCAGAGGTTAGCAGGGTTTAGGATTAGAGTTTCTCATATATGTGCCTATCGTCTTTTGGCGTGGGGCGGGGGGGGGGGGATGCAGTGTCGGTGACGAGAGGAGCAGGGGTCCTCGTTTCAAGCTCGCAGGGCCCAGTTTTGTGTCTTCGGTACGGCTTAGCTCGGCTCGGCTTGGCCCGGCTTGGCTCCTCCATTGTGGGAAGCCGTCACAGAGGAGCTGCTTCAAGACACCTTATGAATCCTTTCCAACACCCTCAAATAGGGGTCTGCGCCATCCCAACCCCCCTGAGCCATGCAAGCGTGCTTTGAAGAAAATCATGCCATCGAGACAGAAATTGCTTCAAAGCACATATGAATCCCTTTCACGCCCGTCATGCAACGCATGGGTTGGGGTGGCCCCCCCCCCCTCCCCCCCCCCCCCCCCCCCCCCTCCCCCCCCCCTCCCCCCCCCTCCCCCCCCCTCCCCCCCCTCCCCCCCCCTCCCCTTCCCCCCCCCCCTCCCCCCCCCTCCCCCCCCCTCCCCCCCCCCTCTCCCCCCCCCTCCCCCCCCTCCCCCCCCCTCCCCCCCCCTCCCCCCCCCCCCCTCCCCCCCCCTCCCCCCCCCAGACCCCGGCTTTTGTGATCCGCGAAAGAAACCCTACACCTGAACCCTTTAGCCTAAGACACCTAAAATGCCGATGTGTTAGGCTTTTGAAGCCTTAAACCCTAAACCCTTAACCCTCTTGTACATAGGATCTTGAAGCCCTAAACCCTAAACCCTAAACCCTACACCCTACACTCTAAACCCTAAACCTTAAACCCTCTTGTACAGGGCTCCTGCGGGGGGGGGGGGGAATGGAGTTCGCAGGCGACGTCGGCTCTTCCGAGGCCTGCGAAGGTGTTTGAGCCAGGTGCCCAGAGCCAGAGACGGGCCTGTTAGGGTTTAGGGTTTAGGGTTTAGGGCTTAGGGTTTAGGGTTTAGGGTTTAGGGTTAGGGTTTAGGGTGAATTCAGGCTTAGAGTTTAGGGTTGATCTTAGAAAACCTGTGGGCATGACAAGGTGGGATGACGTTGTTGGTTTTTACGTTTAGAGTTTAGGGTTGATCTGAGAAAGCCTGTGGGAATGATAAGGGGGGATGACGTTGTTAATTTTTCTGTGACTGCCTGACAGGGCTAAGGATGAGTTGAGGATGTAAGGCCATTCGTCCCAAACGCTCGCTTGGTACTCCACTGCATCTCACAGAAGCCCCAGAGGTCCCTAAACCCTAAACCCTAAACCCGAAACCCTGAACCCTCAACCTTGAACCCTAAACCCTAAACCCTAAACCCTAATCCCTAGACCTTAAACCCGAAACCCTAAACCCTAAACCCTAAACCCTAAACCCTAAACCCTAAACCCTAAACCCGAAACCCGAAACCCGAAACCCGAAACCCCGAACCCTCAACCTTGAACCCTCAACCTTGAACCCTAAACCCTAAACCCTAAACGCTAAACGCTAAACCCTAAACCCTAAACCCTAAACCCTAAACCCTAAACCCTAAACCCTAAACCCTAAACCCTAAACCCCGAAAGGCCCCTTTTTTTAGAAGCCGGGAGTCGAGGCTTGGGATCTTCGTGAAGCCCCAGCGGTGGTCGGACACGGCGCGCCGAGGGGCGCCGCCGCTGGAAGGCGACGGGCAGGGCTGCTCTACCAGGGTTTAGGGTGCAGGGTTGGGGGGTTTGGGGGTTCGGGGGTTCGGGGGTTCGGGGGTTCGGGGGTTTGGGGTTTAGGGTTTAGGGTTTAGGGTGTAGGGTTTAGGGGGAGCCTCAAGGACCAAATGAACCCTGAACGGGTTTATGGCTCATATACCTTAATAGCAATTGTAGGGGTATCTGACCCCAATTTTGGGCTAATTTCGTCCTTAAGGAGGTGGTTCAGAGAGAGATTCTTCAGGTTTTTGTTTTTTTTGGGCTTTGTTGGGTTGTCTTTCAAGAGGGGCTTTGGGTTCTTTGAGGGGGCCTTGGGGTTCTACCAGGCGGTTTGAGGGCTTCGGGTTGTTGAGGGGCTTTGCCGGGTCTTGGTTTGGGGAGTCCTTCGAAGCCCGGCATGCTCAAATGTCCCACTTGGAGGACTTCTTAGCCAGTTATAACTGTACTTATAACCATATGAGGGCACTTAAGGGGGGCTTATAAGTGGGCTACAAGTACAGTTCTAATTGCTTAATAAGTAATTACCCTGAACCCTACACCCTAGACCCTAAACCCTAAACCTTTAAGTCTGAACCTCCAACCAGGCCTCTCCCGGTCTGGCTGCGTGAAGCGCGTCGAGTCGATCGAGGATGCGAACCTCTGCTACTGGGACGCGCAGGCATTGTTCAAGAGACTGAAGACTTGGAGTGTAGGGTTTAGGATTTAGGGTTTAGGGTTTAGGGTGCTTTTTGGTGACCTTAACGTTTACCTGAGCTAACCCCCAAATAGCCCTCTGAATTCAACACCCCCCCCCTCCCTCCCGAGTTCTCCAAGCCGCAGGAAGGCGACAAGCTTGACCACTGGCTCGAGGCTCGCGTGGAGGTAGGAGCGTAGTTGGGCGGTCATCTTCAAGGTACCGCGTCGCATATGCATGCATACATACAAGGCGCATGTGTATATACAATACCAAGCTCTAAGGAGTATACTGTGCAGAGGCCCATGTACGTCTGTGGGTTTAGGGTCGGGTGGAGGGTTTACAGAAGTCAGATCAAGCTCTCTCTGAGCCCTGCCCCGAACACGCGGTTTAGATGGAATCTCTCTGAACCCTGAACCCTAAACCCAAAACCCAAAACCCAAATCCCTAAACGTGCTTTGGAATCCCCTGGTGCGCCTGGGAGAATGCACCTTGGCCCCGGGGGCGCCAGGCGGCTGTCGAGCTCTGCGCGGACTTGAAGGTGTGAGGCTTTCTTCTTCCTGGGCTGGGTTATTCCCTTTTTTTTTTTTTTTCTAACAGTCCTTAATTGGGATTTTTTTGTACTTCCTATTACAGTCCTTTTTAGGACTGTTAGTACAAGGGGGAACATCCCAACTCTTGGGCATCTTTGCTTAAGGTTTGGGCTTGTTGTTTTTTGGCGGGCGCTTTTGTTGGGGGATGTTTCTGCAAAGCCAACCGGGTAGACTAGTAGTAGGCAGGAGCTCCGGCACGTCGGAGTTGCCTAGAAATCTCCGAAGCCTAGTCCCTAAGCCCTAAACCCTTGCCCTAAATCCCAAAGCCCAAAACCCAATACCCAAAACCCAAAACCCAAAACCCTAAACCCTAAACCCAAAACCCTAAAGCCTAAACCCTAAACCCTAAACCCTAAACCCTAAACCCTAAACCCTAAGCCCCAAACCAAAGGATGGGCCCGAAATCCATCCCGAAGACCCTGCCAAATCATTGGGTGAAGCGCTCGGAGGTACCGCTCCTGCAGCCGAAGTGGGGCGCTGCGGCTCTTGATGCCGTAGCGCGGGGAGCCGAGTGGAGGGTTCAGGGTTTAGGGTTGGGGGTTTAGGGTTTAGGGTTTAGGGTTTTAGCAAACTTCAGGGTGTAGGTTTTGAGGTTTGGGGTTTTGGGTAGGATTCTCCTTCTGCCGGGCCTAAATCCTAAACCCTCAAATTAAACCCTGCCCCAGCCTTTCCCCTTAGACTCTTAACCTAGAAAACCCCCTAAACCCCAAAGCCGCAAACAAAGACCCGGAGCCCTGAATTCCTAAAGCCCATAGAGAACCCCTGACACTCTCTGAAAACACTATAGACCCCTAAACCCCTAACCCCTAAACCCCTAAAACCTCAACCCTAAACCCTAAACCCTAAACCCCTAAACCCTAAACCCTACACCCTACACCCTAAACCCTAACCCTAAACCCCAAACGCGCAATCCCCCTCTGAGAAGCCGCGAGGCCGCTGGCCGCGCGCTCCGCCGGCTCCGTGGAGGCGGTCTGCGCCAACATGCGGAAGCCTGGGCCCTAAACCCTAAACCCTTAATTGAGGGGGAAAAGAAAACACGTTTCGTTCATGCAATTCACGCGCAAACTCGTTCATGTATTCACTTCGTTTACTTGTAATTGCATTCGCTTCACGGTACTGAAGGAGCGAAGGGAAAGAATGCACGCTTATTCTCACACTATTGTAATACGGGGGCTTCTTCATTCCTGTCCTGAGTTCATGCGTCATTCATATACTCAATGAAACAAGCAAAATAAGAGATTTAGACTGAAGAATCCAGTAAACGATACGCACGGACCAATAAAAAGAAGTAACAAGGCTTTTCATGTGGGTTCCCCTGCTACCCCCCCCTGTACACTATTTCTAGAGGTTAGGGTTTAGGGATTAGGGTTTAGGGCTACTACCCCGCCTTCAGGTTCCCCCTATTGTTAAGTTCGGGATAATTCAGCCTACTTAAGGTTACTTAAGGGCGGAACCTAGGGGCGGGGGGTAGTATGGAGGGGTAGTAGGGAACGTAGGGGACGTAGGGTTTTGGGAAGTAGGGGGGTTTAGGAAGTTCAGGGGTTCAGGGACTGGGGGAGGTTTACGGGGACTGAATGGATCGGCTTTGAGCAGTCTTTGGGTTCTTTCGGGGGTGTCGCGCGGTCTTTAGGCGTTTTGGGGTTTATGGGTCTTTGAGGGTGATCGGAGAATGGGGGGGGTTGGGGCTTCTGAACCCTCAAACCAAAAATCCTCTGGCCCCAAGCCCAAATCCTCTGAACCCTCAAGCCTACATCCTCTGACCCTGAAACCCCAAACCCCAAACCCCAAACCCCCAAACCCCAAACCCCAAACCCCAAACCCGAAACCCCAAACCCCAAACCCTAAACCCTAAACCCGAAACCCCAAACCTTAAACCCTAAACCCTAAACCCTAAACCGAGGTTTGGCGGCCAGGTGCTCTCCGTCGGGAAGCTGGACGGATGCCTAGAAGGCGTGGTGTTCTCTTCGTGTACTGTTGGCTATATCCCCCTTGGGATTTTTTTAAATTAATTTATTGTTTTTTAAAAATATTTTTGTTTCTATAAAAATCGAGAGGATATTAAAAATACTATTTTTATTAAGCTTCTAAGGGGAGTATAGTTGGGTCGTGTTGAGGTAGGGGTCCACTTGTACGTTATCGGTCGAGTGTGTACATGGTTCCTTCTACCGAAGAAGACACAAGCAGTTCCCAGAGCCCCCCAACCCCCCCCAACCCCCCCCCATAAACCCTAAACCCTAAACCCTAAACCCTAAATCCTAAACCCTGAACCCTGAACCCTGAACCCTAAACCCTAAACCTTAAACCCCACACCCCAAACCCTAAACCCTGAGCCCCGAACCGCGAACCCTAAACCCTAAATCCCAAACCGCCTGAACCCTAAACCCTGAACACTACACCCCAGACCCTTAACCTGCAGCCCTAAACCCTAAACCCTAAACCCTAAACCCTAAACCCTAAACCCTAAACCCTAAACCCTAAGGTGGCTCAAGACTGGGCCATGCGCCTGGTAGCAAAAAGAAGTTTGAGTTCCTGTTGTTTGCTGGTTGGTTCAGGGTGAAATCTCTGGCGACTGTTGGGGTTGGTTTCCTCTCCCTTTCGGTTGCCCCCGTAGGTTATGAGCCCAAATTAGGTTCCCTGCGGTCTGTGTTTCGGCTTTAGGGTGATAGTTGAAGCCATGGCTACCAACTGGTTACAGACTGGTACGGCATCATCGAGCTCCAATGTGGGCGATCAAGGTGAAGGTGGTGTCAAAAGGTCTGCAACGGGTGAGAAAGTTGTTCCCAATGTGGAAGCTCTGGTTGATGTTGGTGGTATGCGTGGCGGAGAGAAGCCGGTGGTAGAAGGACTGGAAGACCAGATGGAAGCAGTTTTGCTGCGCCTTCTGAGTAAACATGGGCTTTGTCTTCGAGCTGCGGGACCTGCTGAATCAACGGGAGCGCCAACAAGCTCCTCTACGTCAAAGATGGTGGAGCAAGGGTGCCAGACAGAGCTGGTTGGGGATGTTATCCCTGTTTCCAAGCGAGCTCGCAACAAAGTGAGCTTCGCGGCTGAAAGTGGTGATCTGTTGACAGGTGAAGCGGAAGAAACTGCGCCTGTTGCTGCGACAAAAAGCAGTATCCTCGTCGCTGGGGACGCAGAAGGAGTTGTTCCTGTTGCTATGGTGATGAGTGAAGGAGAAATCCTGGAATTGAAGGCAGCGAGAATACAGCAGGAGTCAGATGAGGACTTATACGCTGATGGTGGAGGCAAATTGTCTCAAGCTGCTGACCTTCCAATCATCGACTGTGATGGGAAGACATGGGAACGCCATTTTCACGAGGATGGGAGAGAATATCTTTACTGCTTAGACACGGGAGATACCCAATGGGTGTTGCCTAAGAAGACTGGGATGGCTGGAAACAGTGAAGGGTCTGGTGTTGGAATGGGCATTGTCCCTGTGGAAGAAGAGCCAGCACTGGGTACTACTTCGTCCTCGTCGCCTACTGAGTCTTTCAGGGCACAACAGGGTAGCGTGGAAAGTGTCAACAGCGGTGTAAATAGTGTAGGTGAAAAGGATTTTTCCTCTACTATCAGGGATAGCGGTCTTAGGGCTGGTGGTGACGCCCCGACCTCGGGTTCTCCTGATGAGGAAGGGATTTCTGGAAGCCGAGCAGACATCGCTGGAGAACATCTGGATCGGGAAGAAATGGAAGTGCTTTCTGAGGGTGTGGCAGCGGTGGAATCGGTGGGTCCAGAGGAAAAAATGCCCAATGCGGAGATTGGAACTGTGTCGGCTGCAGAAGAGAGAGTGGTGGATGTGGTACCTGTCGTTCAGGAAGGTGATCCTGGAGATTTGGAGGACGGAGGGAAAAAGTTGTGCGTTACGACTGAGGAGGTCTCTTCGTTGGGTGCCAAGAATCTTGCCATTCAGAGAGAAAAAGAAGCTTCTGGAATAGCTGGAGACACGGAAGATCTGAAAGATGAGGCCTGGAGCGCCAATGATGCGCGGGTCAATGCGCCAGATAGTACCTGGAGTGCGAAAGAGGCACGGGTTGAGGTGCATATGGTGTCACGTTCCGCGGACGACTGCAACAATGGGGCGCAGGTCTCCGTAGCAGCTGACGACGGAGGTTCACAGGTGGACGCACTGGTGCAACCTGAAGTTAGCAGCGAGGAACGAAATAGCAAGGGCTACACCGGAGCCAATGCGGCAGCTGTGGTCAATGATGGTGGCAATTCTCCTTTGGAAACCATGGAGCCAAAGGAGCCTGCGGTGGAAGAAAATGTACCTGCCGCGGATGAGCAATCCAATAGCCCTGCAGTGGAAGAAAATTTGCCTGCTGCAGAAGGTGTGACAAAAGACTCCAATGATGGGTCCGCTCCCATGAAGGGGGAAGTATTGCCGTCTGGAAGCTCGCCGCAAGTCGACACCGAGCGAACTGCAACAGATGAGGCAAAGCCATTGGCTGGAAAAAAGGAAGGTCCTGAGCCCCTGGAGCACAAGATGGATGATCTTGTGGGACTCGTGCAGGAGCAGGACGAGCAGTGTGACCCAAAGGTGGAAACAAAGGATGTTTCAGGAGCCGATGATACAGAGATGGTTTCTGAAGAGCATGCAAAGAAAGTGCCCAGAGCGGGAGCCTTGGATACACCTGGGGAGCATTGCTATCAAGAGGGAGATCAGATCGTTGGTCTAGTGCGCTGCATCAATGGGTATGGAGCCTTTTTGGACCATGGCGATGTGAATGTATTGATTCCTGCAGAAGGGAAGAACACACATCTATTCAAATTTCGTGATACTGTCAATGGAACAGTGAAAAGAGTGGAAGATGATGGTACCGTGATCTTGGACACCTTCCTGGTTTTGGAAGAGGACGAGGAGGACTCTTCTTTGACGCTGCGCAAATGGAAAGACAGCGGCTGGAGTACGTGGTGGACAGATTCATGGTATGCTGGTCAATGGTACCAAGATTCCAACAGTCAATGGGACTGGAAATGGGAGGAAGAGCAATCCGATGAATGGTTTGCTGATCAGGAGTTATCCTCAGAAGAACGAGAGGAAAGGCAACTCTATGGAGAAAAGATCTATAGAGCTCTTCTTGAGGATGGAAAGGCTGATAAGGCCTATGTGGGCAAAATCACTGGGATGCTGTTGGGTCGTACAATGGATGAGATACAGGAGTGTGTTGCAGACCATGCATTCCTGGATGCGGAAGCTCGGCGTGCGTATGGCATCTTGCAAAGTGATGGTTGGAAGCCCGATGGTGCAGAAGGCGCAGGCTTGGGAAAGACAACCACCTTTTCCCGAAAACAGTACCACAACGCGCTCTACGAATTGGCATGTAGGAAAAGGAGATTTAGTCGACCAGTTGTGGGTGAAGCGGTGGCAACGTTGCTGAGTCAAGGCAAAGATGAACTTTGGAACGCGCTTTGGCTGGACACCAAGCGATTTTTGCAGGAGCTTGATGGTGCAGTGGAATCCATGAGTAAAAGGGAGAACAAGCCAATGGAAGCCTACATGGATCCCGATCAGTACAAGAAAGCTCACCTGACGCCAAAAACTGTGTCGCCGGGGTACAGTAAACTGTGCAAGTTTTTTCAATCAGGGAAGGTGTCGCAATGGAGATGAGCGTTCCTATGAACATCGTCGTTATGGTGAAGGTTGGCCAGGAGGAGGACCAACTGAGCCAAAGCACAGCCAAAAAGCTGGAGACGAGGATGGGGACATTGGTGACCCTCCTACGGAAGAAGGCACAGTGGATGAGGCACAGCAGGAGCGGGAGGATTCAGCTTTCAGAGCCAAGTACAACTTTGGTAAAGGTGCATCAAAGGGTGAGTCGGTGTCAGTCGAGCCAAAGAGGCAGATGTGTCTGTATTACAACCAAGGAGAAGGTTGTAAATATGGAAATTCCTGCAGATACTCGCACGATGAAAAGGCGGTTTTGGAAGGGACTTGGGAGCCCGGCAGATCCTGGGACAATGCGTCTCGGAAGGCCCTAAGGGAAGCAGGGTTCCATCATTGC